ATACACTACTGTTTTCAGAGAAGGAATTATAACTCTTTCAGTAACATGGTCACTGACTCCAATTCAGAAGAACATTAAAGGTTAAGTTGTGGCACTGAGCAACCGCCTGCTTTAGAAGGTAGAGGGAAGGTGCATCGCCCCAGCAAGATTTCCTGTAGGCATAGTGGCTCAGATTGGCATGGCCATTAAGTGAAGAAGGTATACACTACTGTTTTCAGAGAAGGAATTATAACTCTTTCAGTAACATGGTCACTGACTCCAATTCAGAAGAACATTAAAGGTTAAGTTGTGGCACTGAGCAACCGCCTGCTTTAGAAGGTAGAGGGAAGGTGCATCGCCCCAGCAAGATTTCCTGTAGGCATAGTGGCTCAGATTGGCATGGCCATTAAGTGAAGAAGGTGTATTATGAATTGTCCCACAAGAAAAAAAGCAATGCAGCCCCTTTTCTGAAGAGATTACCATCAGCTGTTGCACTAGTCTGGAGCAGCCCTCCCATAGAATGGAATGAAATTCACAAGTGCAAGGTGAAGGCTACATACAAGTATTACTTACATTCTCTGATAGGACACAAGTGGGATTTAAGTTGCTATCACAGTTAGGGGAACTAGAGTCAGAAAGTCCATATTTGCTGGAGTGACTCTTACTGAGGGGACCCTAGGGAACAGGGAATGTGTGGAGTTGGGCTGGAACAAATCAATGTACCCACACATGGCCAGAGTGTGCACAGGTTTTAATACTTTTTCAAATTAATCTGTGTTTAGATTCACTCTTTGCTAATGAAACATCTGGAGAGTTCTCTGAAGTGCACAGCCAGCAGCCAGACATGGAACTTAGTTTGAAGGTCCCTGGAGCAGAAGAATCAAAATAAAGATAATGAAAGCCCTAGGAGGCACTACAACCCCAGCAGTACAGGCTGGATCAACAGCAAAGGAGAACCAGCGGCTAAGGTGCCACACCAAGAAGCATTTGCTGTGGGAGACAGCATGAGTGGGTAAAGACGAAGTACCGTGCACTAGGAAAGCATTACAAGAAATGTGACGAGTTGAACCTTTTTAGCAGGGTGTGCAAGAGCACAGGAAACGTCAGAAAGATCCAGTCAGATTTGTACAAGAAGGGGATGGCATACCACACAGCGGTGATGACACCACGACTCTCTCCTTGAGTCTGAGTCTGAGAGCACCCTTCACCTTCTCTTTGTTAAGTTAAATAGCTTGAGCTCCTTGAGTCTGCCATTTGTTCCTCTTCTGAAGTCTTCTCAGCTGAAGAATGCCACTGCAGCCCTCACAGAGCCTACTCCTTCTGGTGTCACTCTAATGGCTGGATCCCCACAGCCATGCCTGTCTCCAGGTTAGCCGTCCTGTTGTACTCTAGTGCCTGCTTTTTCTGATTCCTACCACTGATCTCTTCTCAGAATTATCTCTACACTTCAGGCCGCAACAGGTACCAGAGTTTTCTCCTTCTCCTTATCAGTGCCTCTGCTGACTGTTTTGGCAACCCTGTGTTGGGGTATTCCTGTGTGTGCCAGAATACTGAGGGTCTGAACCATAAGACATAATCTTGTGTAACATCACAGAATCATAGAACACTAGAACTGGAAGGGACCTCAAGAGATCATCAAGGCCAGTCTCCTGCCCTCACAGCAGGACCAACCACCATTTAGATCATCCTTGATAGATGATTATCTAACGTCATTGGGAGCCTGAAGGCAGACTCCTTAGGCCCTTTTCTTTTTGGAACATAACCAAGCTTTAAATAAATGGACAGTGTCAGTACAAGGGGGATTTAAGGCTACATTAGCAGTGTAAGTACTGGATATGGTAGTATTCTGTTCAATAAAACCACAGACCTTGCAGTCCTTACTCAGTCCTTCATTTAGCCCATTCCAAGAAGTCAACAAGAGTTTTGCCTGCTTCAACACTGCACCGTGAAGTATTAATATATACGGTATGTACTTGTACCAGCATATGCTAAATCAGACAATATAGTGCAATATCTTTGCACATCATAGTATGAAGGTTATGCTTTTTTACACCATTTAGTCTTTTCTCACAAGAATGTTATCAACTAAGAAAACAGCCTCTCCTATATTCAGTATCAAATCAAAACTGTAAACATGGCTTAAAGCTCTTTGTGGCAGTTCAAATCCCTCATGTATGCAAATAAACTGAAAATTGTCAATACGGTAGACAGAATATCAATGGAAAATGTATTGTTACCTTTCTGAGGATCAATAACGAAGTTTCCCTTTTGATTCCCTGCTACAATGTCATAAGTCACACCATCACCATCAGGATCTATAGCATTGACTGTAGCAATCAATGTATTTGGGCCTGCATCTTCAGAAACAAAACTCCTGTAGCTGTTAAAAAGAAGAGTAATTACAACATATGATGAAAAAGTCAAATTAAAATATATGTACAACTGAATGTTTGTTTCAGAGCTGTATTTGTTTAAATGTAATGTAGAGGCTTATATTTTAGTAAATCATGTAGTAAAGCTACCCTTGCTAACCAGTGAAACAATAAAAGTTGGACATCAAATCTTTAGCAGACTCTTCTTTTTCTCTTTAATAGATTTCCCTTGCAAAATTCTAGGAAAAACTTTTTATCTTCAACAAGGATTGGGTGAAATATGGGGTTCACCATTTTATTTTTACACATAATAAATAAAGAATGGACATATGAATGTCAAGCTATACTGTACCATACATGATACATCGGGACAGGGTACATAAGTTACCATCATTGCTTATCACTCCAAAACTGCAACCAAAACATGGTGTTATAACTTATCTGAAATAGTTCCTCAGGAATACCTGGTTTTGACAGAGTGAACAGCATCAAGTTGTGATCAAATGTTTATCTAAGGCAAGAGTGGGCAATAAAATGAACACAGTTCACCAGGGTTTGTTCCAGGAGGGTCACCACCACTATATTTACCTGTGCCTCTGCAGGTACAGGCGATTGTAGCTCCCATTGACCGTAGATCACTGTTCCTGGCCAATGGAGCGGCAGGAAGCAGAGTGGACCAGGACACATTAGAGTTCATCCCTCAGGTAAAATTATCACAATTTTTTCCATATCTGAGCTCTCGCTCAATTTAGAGTACACCAGAATTTTTGCTCAAAATACACAAAACAACTTCCTCCCTCAAAAATATGACAGAATGAAGAGGACATTGATATAAATCTAGGGTAACTTCACTTAATTCACTGAGATCAGAATCAGCCTCAGCATGGCCAGATTAGCAAAATGAAATTAACCACACTCAGATACCATGGCAATGAGGGCCATTTATATTGCTAAGCAAAGAGACTGAATTCAAGATAAAATTTCCCTTATGTTTTACATGTACTGACTTTTGTGTACTTATTGGTACATAGGCATAGGGTTGTGGGGAGGTTAGCATTTAATATGCATCCCAATAAGGGAAATACATTATTTTGGTTTAGCTCAGCTATTCAAAACCCCAGGGCCACTGTCTTCGCTTCATATCAGAAAACTAAATGAACTGTAACTCAGACAACTTCAAGCATTAAATATGGGGCAGAAAAGTTCAAATCATCAAGAAAAGTCCTAAAGAAGAAGAAAACTGACAAAATGAAACAGAATGGTAGCCTACAGCAACCCATAATTGAGGAATAATATAATTATGGAGAAAGAGAACTTCGAGCTAAGAATTATAAATTTATACTGGACTATAAATCTATTTAAATAGAGCACTAAAAGAACATCATCATCTTGATTTGTATTTCTGCCATGATCCATGATTGAGCATAAAATAAACTGCAGATTAATGTCATTAGAGGAACTAAACTATAGGTGATCATGATGAACTCTATAACAGAGGACATTCTTGAAGTTCATCCTTAGACCTAGGAATGTATGAGCAAGGGCAAAATAAACCAAAATGAAAGTTTTCATCTGGAATGTTGATAGAGAGTTAAAGAACAGCTTTTGGAAAGAAGCTAAAGAATTTGGGGCCTTAATCTTTTAGGTACTGAGCAACACCTGCAAGTGCTCAGCACCTTTTCCTTAGGTGTTCAGACTGTGTCTATAGAGCATGGAATGATCATGAAACACTGAGAACTTCTGTTCTCACTTTCACCCATTCCATCCAAATGAGTTAAATAAAAATTGCATGCATTCATGTGAGGGCAGAATTTGACTTGATGTTCATCTCCATTTGTATGTCATGGCTATATAGATGGCAGATGTAAAAAAACCTCATGTGAAAGCATTTTTCACCATTAAATATAATGCTTACTTTTTATAATATGCTCTGGTAAACTAAAAGAGGAAGCCTGTTTTCATTTTGCTGTGCATATGCTCTCATTTGACAAAGAGCTGTTCACAAAATCAAGAGTGCTAGCACTCATTTTCTAAAAAAAAATCGTGTACTACTACGAAGCATTTGTTTAAAAAAATAACCATATATAAGATTAAACAATTATTCAGACTCTGCAAAAAGATACGAGAAATAAGAGAATAATGAATTAGTATGCCTGTCAGCCTTGACAATGTGCATTTAATAACCTGGACTATTAAAAGAAAAAAGGGAGGAAAGACACGTTCTGATTCTGAAGAAACACGGTCGTTAGATTCTGGATTAGCCCTATTTGGACATCCACTACGAATTTTGTTTTACAAAGGTCAACTCTTTTCACAGCAAAACTATCTAAGGGATCTTTAGTTTCCGCTCAGCTGTCTGCTCACTAGAAAGAAGCAAAATAGGAAATTGTGAAGACACATATTACCTTTAGATATTATAAAGCCTGTCAAGAAGCTTTGTTGTTGTATTCAGACAAACCACAAGTTTGGCACCATCAAAATCCCTTCCTGATCTTTGCTCTGAGCAACTTCTACTTTTAAGCTGATGCATAAAAGTCAAAATTTGACAGTGGTAAACTGGGAATTCCACTGCAGAATCTGTAACTTTCATGTAAGCTTATAGTGCTTTTGACACAGATTCAGACACTTGTAAGATACAAGGTTTGAAGAGGACTGTGCTTACTGAAGCCTGGAGAATATTCCCTGTGTTGATGGGAGATGGGGCTGGGTGAGAGTAAGTGCATTCCACTTATTTATTATTGACATTTATCTTGTGACTTCTTCCATATTGAGGTAATCAGTTGGGACTCAGTCATCTACTGAGCATTTTGCTTTAACAACTCAGTAAAATAGTTAGTGCGACAAAATATTATCTCCAAACCCTAATCTGTCTAATTAAGGGCAAGAGTCTGCCATGCACTCTGGAGTAGTGCTGGGATGTGGAGGGACAAAGTTGCTGCTTGGACTCCCAGGACATGATGTACTGCTATCTCCCCACACAGCCACCTCTGACCCACCTTGCACCCTGACTACTCCAACTGTTCATTAGGGGTGTGCCTAGACTACAGAGTTTTGTCGACAAAAGTGGACTTTTGTCGACAAAACTATACCTGCGTCCACACTACCGCTGAGTTCTGTCGACATAACGTCGACAGAACTCAGCAGTTTTGTCGACGTATGTAAACCTCATTTTACGAGGAATAACACCTTCTGTCGACAGAGTTTCTGTCGACAGAAGGTGTTATTGAATGGAAACTGTCCTTTGCGTCCAGACTACCATGTCGACAAAAGCAGCTTGCTTTGTCGACAGAACTCAATGTAGTCTGGACGCGCTTTGTCGACAGAAGTTTTGTCGACAGTATCTGTCGACAAAACTTCTGTCGACAGAAGCCTGTAGTCTAGACGTACCCTAGGATTCTGGCCAGCAGTTGTGCAGGGCAGGAAGTGGGGAGAAGGGATAGGGGATAGTCTCCAACACCTTCTCTATAATAATGGGAGTTTTCACTTCTGGTTAATATGTTTTCTACTACGAATATAATTTACATGACAACTGTAAACTATCTAGCATGTGTAGAGTACAGAAGTGGTTGAAGCCTAAAGTAACATAATATTTGTCTACACTAGGACTGATGATGCAGTCCTGCAATCAATGATTCCACTGACGTGGATCCAGTGAACAATTGGAAACTGAGGTACTTATCAATCACTTTGTTTGAGATATAAGCTGGACAGTATTTCCATTCATAGATTTCTATACAAATCGCTTCAAATCCATAAAGACTATAACAAAACTTCTCAATAAGAATTTTTAGGAAATAAAACTATTTTTGTAAAATGTACATGCTTGAACCTTTTCTCACTACAAATTAATGTCTCGTTGTTATTCCTGTATATATCAATAAAGGTTTTGCCAACAATTGCTCTTGAGACTTCTATCAGCTTGGGATACAGGCAGTCCCCGACTTACGCGGATCCGACTTATGTCGGATCCGCACTTACGAACGGGGCTTTCTCGCCCTGGAGGTCGAGGTAGCGGATTGCTACCTGCGAGCTCCGGGGCGAGAAAGCCCCGTTCGTAAGCTGCTCCGGTGCCCCTGGTCTGCTGGAGACCGTCT